CCATGCTTGAATATCCATATTAGTGCATGAAGTGTTTATTGTTATGTCATCGTTTACTTTTTTCTGATTGGTCATTGTTACAGAAATAAACAAGGACATAGATGCTTGGGAAAAACATCCATCACGTTTTTAATCACAATTTGACCATATTCAGGTCATGTTACAAAACTTTTAGTCTCGGATTCAAATTTTTAGTTCTTGGAAATGTAAGATGACGCTAGTCTTGTTGCGAAATTATAATTCGGGACATTCCAGCGGAAAATATATTTTTCTGCAATTGACTGACCAATCACAATTTGGCATATTCAAGTAATGTTACAAAATTATTCAGTCAATCTTAACTTTCCTGTGACGATGGCCATAAGATTGTCTCTTCTCTGTAAATTTTCAACTGGATAAAAAAAATAAAAATTTTTACAAAAATTGTATTTTAAAAATAATCAAAGCCCAGTTATGACTGATAAAATCTTCAAAACATGATATGCCATGTAATAGCTTTTTAACGACCACCAATTTTCCACCTCATTTATAACCACAAATTAGTGTCAATTTTATCTTTTTTTTACGCAAAGATCTGATAAGCGTCAACGATTGCAAATAATGGAAGACAGAGGTGAAGATTAACTAAAAAATTCAACATTTGACTTAATATTATGATATAGCTGAGACATGAGTCTTCTTTACTTCTGAGTGATTGCCCGTAACTTTGCTCAGAGATGAGTCTACTTTACTTCTGAGTGAGCGCCCGTAACTTTGTTCAGAGATGAGTCTCTTTACATATGAGTGAGTGCCACAATGTGAGTGCTGCATAATGAGTGCTTCTTCATTCATTTAATATCAATGGATCCTTTGCTAGTGTCGCACTTTCACTACTTTTTAATATTTTATAATGTGTTTGTTAAATAATTATTATAGTAATATTAAAGAACTAAAGAATATTAATAATACTACAGCGAGTACAAAGCAAAATTTTTTCTCAAAAATGACAACGTTGTGCTAGGCCAATGGTTTCAAAGCGGGGAGCCATTAATTAGTTGAAGGGGGGGCACCATGCCAGGCGCGACTCTGATTTACTTTTCCCTCGACGAGAAAATTTTCAGTCTTTCCTAGTTTCTTTGCTTGATAAGGTTATTTCACAGAGTGTTTTCACTTTATTGTGCATGAATTGTTCAAACATCATGAAATTTGGGTTCTACCAATCAAAATAACACAATAAATACCACTGGATTGGTAAACAGGGAGGCGATGAGTGCTAAAAGCCTCTGTAAAGGGGCCGCAAGCCAGAAAAGGTTGGGAACCACTGCGCTAGACAATCTAATTTGAATCAATTCAAGTTATTTTTGTGTTTACCCAGCCTGTCAGCTGTTGTAAACAGCAAAGATACTTAAGTTGCATATCCAACCACTTACATACAGAACCACTTACAGCTTTTCTTGAAATCTTTCAAACCCCCCGTTATCAGACACTTACAAACACTTGAATATACAAATGAGTGTCTGGCATTTATTGATTGACATCTGCTTATTGGTGCGCTGTCTAGAAAGAGCATCAGGGAAAATTTTAAATGTGGTCGAGTCCAACAAAGAACACATAGGAGCCCATTCACTCAAAAAGTCATTTTCCAAATGAAATTATTATAATTATTCATAAATTCAAGAATTAAAATATTGAATGCTGTTTGAAAACGATTTAAATTTCTATCCGATCTGGACATTCCTGTGGTTATGGGATCTTAAGTGCCAATTGTGAAATGGTGAATTTACAAGAGATAGGATATATTTCTGGTTTGCATCACTCTCTTGAAAAAAAAACATTTTTTTCAAAACAATAACAGCCATTATTCCACAGAAAGCATGAACAAATAAATTTACAATTTCCTTAAATAACTTGCAAGTTGTCTGTATAGGTGACCGTACATTTGAACCCATGCGTATATCCACGGGTTCAATCTATATGCGGGTGCTAAAACCCATGGGTTAGGGTTAGTATGGGTTTAACTATCCGTGAAACAAAAAAAATTCCAAAGGTGCAATAGCATACAGGTGCAATCGTCATGGGTTCAAATGTACGTGGGTTCAAATGTAATGGAACCGTCTGTATACAACACATAAAAATCAATGAAATTTTGTTATCAGACATTTTCCAATCAATATCCAGTTTCCCAGATGGTTACAGATTGTAAAAAGGGAATGAAATAAGAAAATAAACGTTCAATTTGAAGTAATGTATAGACTAGGTACTTCTATGTAGAGCAGTGGTGGGCACGGTTTTTAAACCAGGGGGCCTAAAATTCTGCCCACTTAGACTGGTGGGCCATGAAGTGTGTCGTAAAAAGTTTCATTTTATGAATAATATTTACAGTGTTACAAAGCAAAAACGGGAAAGGATATGTCTCGTGCCAAGACTAAATTTAACCATATCCTTAAGCTATTTTTAGCTAAAACATAAAAATTAGATTTCAGTTTGGTTGTGGCAGCATCAGGCAAGCCAGATTGAATTTCCCAACGGGCCGGATTTGTCCCGCGGGCCATGCTTTGCCCATGTCTGATGTAGAGCTTAGTTTTGGAATGACAAAAATTTTTCTTGTTCTTTTATTGTATTGAAAATTTAATTTTGCGACCTGTGCCGTTTAGTATTCAAGCACATTCTTGGATCACAAGATTTTAAAAACTTTTTTCTTTCAATTTTGATCGTTTAAAAAAAGGTTAGATACCGCTGCTCCCAACTATTAAACACCATTTTTAACAAAATATATTTAATGATTATTTTGGAGACACTGGCTTTTGTGAAAATAATTTAATTTGTTTTGTCTGACGAAAGCCAGACAATTGTCAAGTGTTTTATCAGCGGCGGGAACCGTGGGAAAATCAGAATTCGGTTTTGTTTGCATTTCCTGTCAGATAATGGCTGTCATTGTTTTAATTGGCATACTTTATTTTGAAAACTCTGCGATATATAATATGGAATAGTGAATGTAAGATAAAAACAAATCGGTCATTGAAATTAAATTTTGAGAAATCATACCAGGGATGGTAAAAGCGAATAATTTATTATTCTTACCTGAGATGGCAAAAAATAAACGAGAATATTGGTCGGAGACCGAAGACTTATTGATCGAAAATGCGGTTTCGATTCATGACTCTATAGTGACACCATGTGTCCCATCACTAATTAATTAATAACTCGCTATTTATACGACATAATCCATCCAAAATCAATAGGCTTCTGGTCCGAGATATGATGAATGCACATGCAAAATTTGGAGCAGATTCAACCTCGCCTTCGTGAGATATCGCGTTCATCTAACAGACAAATACCTATCAACATACTGATCTTAAGTTCGATAAATAATAATTCACTTTTCTGAATACACTCTAATTAATCGTTTCAATATTGATTTTATTCTAAATCAGACCATGTTCAACCAATATTACAATGCCATTTTTACTTTTTTTTATGTATTGTGTGTATAAAGCAGGGATGGGCAATATTTTTATACCAGGGGCCAAAATTTTGCTCATATAGACTGACTGGCCATGTGAGTGTGAAGTAAAAACTTTTATGAACAATATTTACAGTGTTACAAAAGGAAATAGCCCCGTGCCAAAACTAAATTTAATTGCAATCACAACAAATTACTTGAGAAATTTTTCACCTAAAAGATCAAAGTTTGATTTTAGTTTGGTTATGGCAGCATCGGGTGGGCCAGATTAGAGTACTAAACGAGCCGGATTTGGCCCGCTTTGGGTGAGCGAACACGTACTACTTCTTTTATCAATACCTTTCCATCTAAAATCTGTACGTTTCAAACCTTACTCTAGGTTTTGTTCGCTTTCCCGATTCTATAATCAGTTACTTTTATTTTTATCTATTATTATTATCGTCTATTGCTGATTATGGAGTCGAAATAAACTTATATTCCCAGTCTGGTGAAAAATAACAGAATGCTCCACACAGCCGAGCCAAAATTGTTAGGATAAACAGTTAATAGGGGGTGATTATGAACCATTTTGAGTCTATTTGTTCAGATTCAGCCTAATCTTGTAGTTCTGGGGATTGATTTCAAATAAGCACAAGAAAAGCTTTTTCGTTATTATTATCTTAACTTTTAACCTTGTAATTTGCACGTAATGGGTTTCTGATACTTATATTTATCCAGTGTTTTGAATATCAACGCAAAAAAATGTTATTTTAAAGCAAGGTCACTTCTCAAGGTCATTCCTCGCTCGAAAAGAAAGTCTCAAATTACTGGCGATATACGTTTTTTTTCACAATTTACGGAAAATATTAAATTTCATGATTTAGAAATAATTATTTTCAGAAGTTTTCTATGATTTGGACAAGATGACACAAACCTTGCCGAATTTAGGTCAACTTTTTAATTTGATTTATTTCACAGCATTTTCTCTTCATCCACTACTGTTATGCAGAGTATTCGTACAGTCCAAAATTTTTTTAAAATTGTTGAAAGGGAATTAATTGATACCATTTATTGTTTTGGCCCTCACAGATGTATTAAATGAGGCAAAAACACTTTAACAATTACTGATTAAAAACAATAAACCTGGTTAAGATATATTGAGAACTGACTTCATAACAAAATTGTAAAGGGGCTTTATGGACAGTACAGACACCCTGCATAGAGAGCATTTGTTATTGGTAAAACCGGAATCTTTCGAGTTTAGCATCGCCTATCTAATTTATTACACCATGAATGAGATGACGATTTGGATCCAGAGATGTTTAATCTGCGATGCCAATGTTCGCTTTCCTGATTCTGTAATCAGTTTTATTCATTTTGTTTTTATGTTTGTTCTATCGACTTCCATGCTGATTATGGAGCGAAAATATTTATACTTATAGTTAGCCAACGCTCTAACCACAAAGCCAGCCGTTTTTGAGTGTTCTCAATTTTTGATAATTACTTTGAGCAATCACTCTTAAGCACAAGAAATATTGTAGCAAGATAATTACCCCAACCCTAAAACCTTCTTCCTTAGATTTACCACTTTTCAAAGTCTTTGAAACCCCAACATAAAAAACGAAATTGTGGACATTCTGATGGCAAGGAAAGTTCAAGTAATGGTGAAACAGACAGACTCCGCCCTTTATCAGCACCTAGTGATGAATCTGACCCCGATAATTCAGCCACCAGGTGCCGCTATTACTCTATTTGCATGTGGTGATTGTGGTAGCACAGTAGTGGTGGCGACTTGTTCTTCATGCTGTCTTGTCCTATAATTATGCACTTTTCACACTCATTGTTACGGTTGGTTGCACTTGTCACGGATGATCACACTTGATTTGCTTCGTTGCACTTGTCACAGTTTGTTGCACTTGTCATGGATGATTACACTTGCTTTGCTTGGTTGCACTTGAAAAATAATGTGCATAAATTCCTATGCACTCACAATATTAAAACTACTGTTGTCTACTGCAGACACCGCTTATACTCAAACTCTTTCCTTATTAAAAAGCAGTAAACCATGACTAGACAAAATAATCCAATTTTAATCTGGTTTAGTGAACTGCTGCCAGGACACAAACTCATGAGGTGGAATTACATCATCGCACACCTTTTTATTAACTACATATCACAATGCACTAATTTTCTTTCTGATGTTCTGAATGATAGGACATGGTCTGGCACATGATTAGCCGTCTTCTCATATTTCCTCTCTCTCTCGTTCTCTCTGGATATTTTGAAAATCCTATCGTAACATACTTTGAGTGGAATAACACAAATTTACACTTGAATGGTTTTTGAATTCTGGTTTAACCGTTTGTGAAGAGTTTTTAACAATCTAGAAATACTAATTAATAACAAGAGAGCAATGCTCAAATATATGGACACCAAGTGGTACGGGTATCCAATCTTTGCTCAAGGAGACTTTCTTAGTCGCTCTGTCGGTGTGTCAAAGCTGTCATGTAAAAAAAGTTGATCGAGTTGTATGGAATTTTTCACATGGTTTATTTTTCCATCTTAGTAATGTGTTTTTTTATGGAATTCCGGATCGCTGTTTTGTTTCCATGGCAGTAAGAGAACTTGGAGGGTAACGGATCGCTGGGTTGCCTCAAGTATCAGTGGCCCAGCTTGTCCTGATGCTTTCTTCTTGTTATCTTTGTGTCAGGCGTGTTTATATAGAGGCTTTATATATTATTCAGCGAGCAGTTATAGAGTATGACTTCATGGTCAACTTAAAAAGCCAGATTAAAACACAACTTCAACAGCTTAGCACAAAAGAAGAATACCCGTCATAGCATGTCCACACAGAATATATCCTCAAGGTCATCTCAGTGACCTTCGGCCCAACATGATCACTTATCATGACCCTTCGTCTGGAAAAACTCCAATATTCAGCCTCGAGCTGTGTCGCTATACCCAGGATGCAGTAGATAACTTTTCAATCAGCTTTAAGAATTGCAATAATTTTCATGCAAAATTATTGTATGGTGTGCATTACCTAATTATGTAGCATCGTTTGAAAAAATTGATTTTCAATTGTTCATATTTATACCCATATTCATAAAGCTACGTTTGCATCTATGGCTAACGCTAGAGAATTAAAAAATTCAGGATTAAACTCATTTCTTGAGAAAATATTGTATGGTGTACATTAGCTATGGCATCTTTTCAAAAATAATAATGTGTTCACAATGAAAAATTCACATTCGCGTTTATTTATTGAGGTATGTTTAAACTTTTGGCATATTCGATAGATATATACATTCTTCATTGACTGCAATTGTAATAATTTCTCATGAAATTATTGCGTGGTGTGCATTTGCTAAGTTCATGGCATCTTTTTTTGAAAATAAAAATTCATTCACATTTACAGCCATATTTATTAGTAGTTTTCTCCCGTAGAAAATGCTTCTCATTAAAAATTAACAATTTTGATCAGCTGTTTTGGAATTATTTTTCGGTGTGCTATGAGTAGCTAACTAATGATTAGGTTCTGGATTTGACAGGCATAGGGGTGTGCAATAGGCAGCCCACTGGCCACCATCCATCTTGCCAAGCTATTTAGTGTGGCCTTTGTTAACACACAGACTTTTCCCATCAAACATAAAATCCTTACCTGACTGTTTATGTTTAAAAAGGCGCTCACACGGGTAAAAATACATAATGTTGTTTTGCTCTTGTCGCTGCGTTAAATTTTTGGCCGTTTTGCCTGGTTCCTTTCTTACAGTAAATCTAAGCGAATTTTTTAATTCGTTGTGTGCATGGAAAATCTATTTTTTTGTATGGTCCAGCTAGGTGTCTGAAGTTAGTTACGTGTATGGCCCACCAACTAAAAATGTTGCACACCCCTGGACTAATATGTTCAAAGGTTCGTGTCCAAATACTTTATCAAATTTAATTTTTGAATTAAGGATTTATCATAGAAAAGAGATGAAAAAAATTAGTCGTAATGCAGTAACAGAACGGAAAAGGGGTAGGACAAAGACTTAAGTAAATAGGTGATGCAGTAATTACTTAACATGATAGTGCTAAATCATAACTTATGACAAATTTCAAATTCAAATCTTTTACTTCCTTGTGTATTACCTGTGACCTTATTATTTCTACAGATTTATCTCTACTACAGAAGCTTGACTTATCCAGAACGTAAATGTTGTCGTCATTCTAGCAACTCGACATCGCCAACTAGTGTTGGTAGCAATTCAGTGATGCAAAGCCCTCATATTAAGCAACCAGAAAGCAACGGAACCGCAGCCAATGATATCACCTTGAAAATGGAAGATGACACTTCTCCACTATGACAATGATGTAACAGAAGGAAGATGATGTGACCATGGTGATGTCATAAACAGACTGTCACTCCTTATAACAGTGCATGATCTTATTCCTCTAATGTCCATTAAGCCCTCTTTTCAAGAAATTTCTGTACTATTCCGCAATTTTCCCATCTTTAATTCTGTTAATCTTGGGTTAAGGATTGTATTTTTATAACGATGGTTTTCAACCAGGATTCCGCCAGTACAGTCCGAACTTCGAGTCTATATTATTATAGGCCTGTTATTTAAACATAATCGGAGCTCCAGAAGTATGTGCACTAGGGTTCAGGTTGTGCGCTATCTTGGTGCACACACTTCAGGAGCGCCACATAATAGAATACATATTAGGTTTGCCACTATTATTAAATTTAACACCCTTTAAAAACATTTTATTTTGTCAGTATGAGGTTTGCTTTTACATATATAGTCAATACAATACTTCTTATTGCAGCATTGCACAGGAATTCTTCTCGACAAACAGGTTGAAAACCACTGTTCTGCCACCTAACCTAAACAGAATAGTATAAAATCTGATTTTTCTGTGTTATTCAATGATATCAAATAATAATGATTAGGCGATTCTGATAAGTTTATGTATTACATGGCGACACGCTCCAATAAATGCCGCGGTAAGCCATCTAATCCGATAATTCAGCCATCTTTCTGACATTTCTCTTCCTGTGATAAATATGAAAATAATCACAATCAACCTAACGTACTTGCTATTAAAGAAGCTTCCTGTTTGAGCTTTAACCCCCCAAATCTTTTATTTTTTAAATTCAATTATTTTTTATGTTGTGCAGCAGATTTTAATCATGTATATTTAAATTTTGACTCTGAGCGCTACCTAGTTTACCTATGAAATTGTAAAATGAGCTAGAAACAGCCATCAGTTACATAACCACCCTACGATAATGAGGAGTTTCACAATCCTTCGTGCACATAATTCCCCCCCCATACAGGAATTCTAATTTGCAAACCCATTTAGGGTGATCATTAATTAGATGGCGAGTGTATTCCAACACTTCGCACAATGTTATTATGTTGCGTACTCTCCAATTTTCTTTTCTATCAGTTCCATTTCTAGTCGAGTCCTCACTTTAGTAGCCCGACATAGAAAGTATCCCAGCGCCTCTCTTATTTTTGATACAATATATTGTTATCAACTACTTTATAATTTTAATTTTAGAACTATTTTTCTGTAGTTTAGAACGTACATAGTTTCAGTATTACAGTAGAATTTTAGAGTTCAACTTTTTTCAACTAATTTTCAGTACTTTTACGTTGTGTTATTAATTATAAGTTATTGCAACCTTTTTGTGATGAACAAGTTTCAAAGCAACAAATACTTATATACTTATTATACTTGTATTTTCGACAAATTGCAATGAACAAAATATAGTAAATGCGATCAATAGAAATCAAGTAATGTTAGTTTATCGCTACCACTCCTACCATGTTTTCCACAATACAACAATAAATTTACACGTTTCGATATTTTTTTTTGCGTTGCATTTTTCTTTTTGAGTCAAATCATGTTTAATATTAAATTTCCATCATAACTTGAGTCTTTAGTAATAGCTAAAATGGACAATTTGGTTACTACGGTAGTGTTTCTACACAAGATTAGGGTTGGGCCATAATTTTTTTCTGATTTTCCATATTTTAGTTCTATTACGAGTTCGGGGATTGTCTGTGTAATCCAAATGAATATACCCCCTGCCTAATAGGCTTCAGTGCCTTCACACAACTTAATGTGAAGTAGGTGAACGAAATTAGTTACATCCATATTGGTACACATACTCATGGAGCGCCCAATTTTGTGCTCCATGCTACTCCTTTGTACCATCAAGTTCCAAAAAATCCTATGTTTTGAAATTTAGGTAAAAACTATGGCCCATAACTACTCCCCAAGGCTTTTAGGAACCTAAATTTTAAAATATCAGTTCTGAAAAAACGAATTATGGGTCCTTCGTAGCCTAATTTGTAGCTTTTAGCTTCTTATATAGCTTAGTTTCTATTGTGTTCATTTGTACAAAAAAGTCATATGTTTTATAATAAAAAAAAAATAGTGTACTTTCGAAATTTTTTAGCGGGTTGGTTGTTCCCAAACCGGGGTTGATTAACCTGAAAAAAGAGAAAATTTGACAATTTTTTTGGGGGGAGTCTCTGTTATTGAACGGTACGTGGGAACTGTGGGTAGGCATGCATGCCACTGATCAAAGAACACATGATTAGTGAAACAATATGGCTAAGGAAGTGGAAACTGTTAGATTAAGAAACAATGGGAAATGGAATGTCTAAATTGCGGCAAAATCCAAGTCTTGAAGAAAGATATTGGATCATTTTTGGTTTGCCTGCGAAGACATTAGCATTTTTGATGCAATGACAGCTGTGAAGTAGAATTCTCTATAATACTTAGTTGGAACAAAATATCAATACACGCTTATGATGGTTTGGGATGCCGTTTGTTCTCGACTTTGCCTGGTTTCAATATTGCCGAGTAAGAGTGGATATTTTATTTTTATAAAATAGGTGATTGGGCTTTTATCAGTTCAATTTAGGGCGATGGAGAAAAAGTACTAAGTGCTATTGAACCACTGCGTTATGATCAACGACCAACTTACCGGTTATGTTCGCCGTTATGACGAATAGACTCAATGAAACATCCAGCCTCGGGTTCAAAATGGGCGTAGGGCATCTGAACAAGTTTGGTTTATGTATCAATAGGAGTTGAAACTTACAAAATAAATGGATCGGCGATCAATGCCTTGCATTTAGCATGTGAAATATATTTGGCGGACTGACAGGAAGGTTGGCGTGGAATGCAAATGAATACTGAATCTATAAGCAATTATGTGGGTGCGTTTTGTGCAAGTAAACACCAATCAAGTCTATGCTTACGAAAACAAATAACTGGTTAACTATATCCATCTACTTATGAATAACACGTTTATATTTAAAAAAAATCATCCTCTGGAATGTCTTGCAAGTCATTCATGAATTTTAATATAACTGAATTGTCTATCTTGCAAATTTCGTGCCGTCGACTTGGTCTTACTTAAGGGGGGGCTTATATTAGAATCATTTGTAAAATTCAGACTGGGCCCTATTTTCAGGCTATGGTCTTATTTCCGAGAAAACAAAATAGTTGCATTTTCTGTCTCAAAATTTCCTCCATGTTTGACTTCCTTAGCCACTACTTACATCCCAATTAAGAAAAAACGACAAAACATGCTGCCAAATTTTATTTCAATATTTATTGAGCAATATATCTCAAATGGAGATGATCACAGCATAGAAAACAGCAGTCTATGATAATAAGCCTCAGCTCCCAACTATCTTGGTTGAAAAATTTCGACTCTAACTTCATTGGAAACATGCAAAACTCCACGGCCTCAGAACACAAACAACAGGAAATAAGCAATTAAGGCCTATACAGACACTTCGTTATGACAATGAATAAAAATAGTCGAAGTTTAACACGGGCCGTATAGTAGGAAAGCTGAGATTGACTGAAATCTTCATAATATTTTGCGATCGACCTATTGTTTATAAGTTCCCCCAAAAAAAGTACGAGAACTAGATATGAGTATTCGTTGGAGATACATACAGCCCAGCGGCTGAAAATACCTAAATAAAATAAGGGATAATACCTAAAATAAACTAGTCGCTGGAAAATGCAATTTGACACACTAGAACACATTTCTCATAAGACCAAATTTTAGGAATTCTTTGCTTATTTTTTATTATTATATCTTGGATTTCAAATAATCATTTGAAAGTGAAAAAAATTCTCTACAAATGGAATTTTCTTCTGCTGGTGTCCATCTCCTTGCGTTTATGAATCCATTCGTATTCGCCAAATTTAGAATCAAAAGTCCCAACTTGCAGAGAACGTAATTTCAATGTAAAACGAGGCCCGAGCTCCTGAAGGCCGACTCGCTTTTCGTTCCGGAAAATGTAACGATGTTGCCGTACAAATACATAGTCTCTTTGATTGTGGAAGGTCACGACCCTACGACCTTTAAACTCAGGGTCATGAGGAAATAATGCAGCAAACATACGACCCACACGATGTCCCAAACGAGTTCCGAAGTTGTTTAGAATAATTTCAGGTTTGTGTGACGACGGCGCATCACTTCGTCGAATCTCATCCCGCAATTTTACGTTCGAAACTTTGAAATGAGCCGTCGGTCCGTCAGGAAGGTGACATAAGACTAGTCCGTTTGGACTTTTCCTGTCCTCATTAACGACGATTAAATCTGTGAAATCTTTAGCAATGCATTGCGGAATGATTTTCTTCAGAGCTAGTCTCTTCCTGTGAATGGAATTGATTGATTGATTTAATTTCAAAATATAAGTTATTGCCTCAATATTTTCTTTATAGCAGGAATGTGCAACTTGGGGCCCACAAAAAAAATGGTACGATCCGCGGAAAGTGCCAGCCAGGTGCGCGGTCGCAAAACGAGTTTTTGATTTTTACGTGCAAGTAATTCCTTTGTGTTTCACGGCTTATACCTGAGCTCGTGAAAATTGACCAATGCATGTCATCAGATCAATAAACAAAAGTTGTGTGCCTAAAACTACTAGGAAGCCTATGTTAAATAAAGGAACGACCCGCGATCTCACCCAGTTATTTCTATCTGGCATTCCTGTATTATTAAAGGTTGCACAGCCAGTCTTTATAGTGTCAGTTACTCTCAGCATTTTACTGGTTGCCCATAGCTTCTCCCAGATATCATATTCTTCAATTTCTGTGTGAGTTTGAGAAGCACTGGCCCAGTCATTGAAGATCTTTGACTCAAAACCCTATACTTTGTATAATGACACTTAATAATGTCTTTCGATTTGAACAACGCCAAATAAAAGCAGACACTGATAGATGACAAAATTTGGTGCTTCAGAAGTATTCACACCAAGATGTCGCACAACCTGAATCCTAACCGGTACACACATACTATGTTCAGGTTGTGCGCCATCTTGATGCGCATACTTCTGGAGGTCCCAAATCTTTTTAAAAAAATCTAACCGAGCATTTTCATCTATCTGTATTGGTTCAGTTGAAGAAAGGGTTATTTGATAGCAAGCCATGCCCAGCACCTCACTCAGCTTAAAATAAATATGAAAAGCCAAGCCTGCTTGCAAGAAGCTTTGTTCAGAGTGAATATTGCACTGTGGAAACGAAAAAAACAGACAAACCTGTAATAAATGTGAGAATTTGGAATGAACTGCTGAACCTCTCGGATAAATTTCATGACACGATATCGAGGCCGTTCCGACGTTGTGATCAAGACTTTGGGTGTCTTCTCTCGGTTGAAATATGAAGCCATTTCATCAATTGATTCATCGAATAGAACTTCTTGGTCTAGGGGGCTGACCTGTGGGTATAGGAATTGATAATTAGAAAAAAAAATTTCAAGATAGCAAGAGTATTCGTGCGGCAAAATATATGATTTTTATCAATGCTCTTTGCATCAGTGTAAGTATGTTGATAGATATTTGTCTGTTTGACACTTTCGTATGTTACTCGTTATCTCACGAAAGCGAAGTTGAATCTCCTCCAATTTTGCATGTGCATCCATCATATCTCGGACCAAAAGCATATTGATTTTGGATGAATTATGTCGTATAGTTAGCGAGTTATTAATTAATTAGTGACGGGACAATGGTGTCACTATGAAGTAAGAGCGCATGAATCGATCGATAAGTCTTCGGTCTACGTCCGATATTCTCGTTTGCAACATCAGGTGGTGTTTAACATCACCTGACTACTCATTATTTCAGATATGACATGGCAAGATTGTGGCAGGAGCTGCCATGAAATGGTAAGAACTGCGCCTCCAAGATAGGATTGATATTCAACCTTGAAAGAGAAAAGTTAATAAGAGGGCACAAATATTGGTGTGCAGGGGAGGCCAGAGTTACTTCAGATGTACCTGTTTCTTTGGAAGAAAAGTAAATAAAAAAAATTAGTAATGATAGCTGGCTAATTTTATCTGCTCCATGACAGTTGTAACAACATGAGCCAGTGAAACTAAAAGCCAACTAGAATTAGGAATTGATAATTAGAAAAAAAGTATCCAAGATGTGATTGATATTCAACTTTATAAAATAAAGAATACTGTTATTAAAATGTTTCAAATATGGGCTCGCAAGGAAGGCGAGAGTTACTTCAATTGTATCAGTGTTTCTTTAAAATAAAAGTGCATAAAAATACCAATTACCGCTATTGCAAAATATTGATAGCTGGCTATATTTCATTCGCTACCTAAATCAACCTAAATGGTGAAAACTGAAAGCCAACCAGAATGAATGTGGATCGTCACCAATTTGAGACTAAAATCCAGCAATATATTCCAACATAATCGGTCAACAAAAAATCCAAAGTTGGTTCTTTGTATATGGTACTACTGACATGAGGTAGGTCTGGCCCGGTACTATAATCATAACACAGCGGAAGACTGATAGCATCTCTCTTGCACAATAGCTTAGCACAGTGGCCCCCAATCTTAAATGTCTTGTGGCTTCCTTCTAAGGGATTTTGGCACTCATGGCCGGTTCATCATCCCGATTGTATTTATAGGTTTATTGTGATTGGTAGATTCCAAATCCCATTATGTTCAAACAATCCATGCTCAACAAAGTGAAAATATCTTGTGAGATAACCTTATCAAGCAATGAAACTAGGAAGACAGGGTATCCTTTTTATGAAGTGAAAAGTAAAATCGGTTTTGCACCTGGCATTGTGGTTGCCGTTACAGGGCCTTGTAAGCGAAACGTACAAAAAAAATTTACCACATGACACATACCATAGTCTCATCTTTCACTCTCATATTTTCAATAGTTTTCGACAACATTTTTGGCGGTGCGTCCTCCCCTAATTCTTTCTGTTCTTGCTGCCTTTTCTTCCGTTGTTTGATTTTTTCTTTCCTTTGAGCTGCTTTGAATTTACGGAATTCTTCAGATCTGAATGTGTCAAATTATAATGAGTTTAAATGAGCCTGTTTCACTTTCAGATCAGTGGCTCGAATAGTGGGGCGTATACATTTTTTTGAGGGGGCGTGAAGCTAGTGAAAAATAGATTTGATCTTGCCAGTCCGCTTTTGGAAATTTACTTGACATTCATGTATTTTATTCGCCTTACTGTTATTTGTAGCTTATCATTAGCTAGCAATAATACAATACAGTTTATTTTGGCATTCTGAAAACACAAAAACTCGAACACAAAAGGAACAAAACACATACCAGAAATGCCTGGAAAACAAGCAAAACTTATGAATAAAGTTTATAACGCGCAATGCACTGACTCGTTTACCAAAAGTAACACAAATAATTTATTTATAAATAATAAAAAGACTCGACGAGCAGCAGTAAAAGGCTCCTAGGGCGTTTCATGTGGAAAAGTGAGTCTAACATACAAGTTAAAAAAAATGACAATAAACTTATCAGAACTTGAAAGTTCTTAAAAAAATTTTTCATCAAAAATCGTTTTTAATTTACCTTTTCTGTTTGTTTCCAATTTTCGACAACATGGCGGCCGCTCGTTGAGACATTTCATCAAGTTTAGGATTCGTTGGTGCTGAAGATTCAGTAACAACGCTGGCAACATCACTGAATACCCCACCCGACGTGATACTGATTTGATCATCTTCCAAATTAACGGCCTCTTCCATTTTAACTATCCCTACTGTGGAAAAGAACACAGCAACAAGCAACCCGACAAAAAACGACAGACGAACAATACACGCGTGTTGCCCTTACATATAGAAGTGTACGGAGTCGTTTTTTAGTGAATTTGCAGTATGTACTTTGAGTTAGACTCAGAGAGTGAGAGATTTTATTTTAAAAATTTAAGTTCCAGTTTTTTTTTTGCAAATCAATTTTTTAGCTAATTTTCCCTAAATCTGACCGGATTGTGATTTTTCAAGTCACATTAATTTTCTTAAGGACCGGACCACGATCTTTGAGTTCGCGCGTATCGTCATCCTTACCATGCGCTATTAAAATATCGTAATATTAGGAATGAATGAAAAAGATTACAGTAATATTAAAATATAAAGTAACGATTACAAGGATGTATAATGTATATCGGCACTCGCGTTTTCGAACCGGATTTATTTTAGAGTTACAAGGATCGGAGCTGTACGTGGCGGCCACAGAGATATATAAATATAGAGTGTGCTTCTCTCTCGTTTTCGCGGGATCATTTGAAGCCTCTCTCGTTTTGACGATATGCTTCCAACTTTTCCGATGGGCGCAATGCATTTCTTACGGGATTTGACAGAAATTAATTATTTGCGTCGATTTTTTTTGCATATTCGCATGTTCTTGATTCGTTTCTCAATATATATCAAACGCTAATATACCCCAGCCCACCATACGGTCAAATTTTGGCAGTTATATGAATATGCGTAAGTCGTGGTTAATAATATGGCCAACGTATCAGTCAAAAGCGAACAAAAACGATCACAGAACATCAGCCAAGATGGCTTATCAAAATCGATTCCCCATTTGCCTATATTTGGCCATATTTTATCGCCGTAAGTATTTTGCGTGGCCTGGTGCCGTAGTGGCCTACCCGAGATATACATATAAATAGTCCAAAGGGCGCTCCAGAAGTATGTGTACCAATATGGAGGTAACTAATATTGTTCACCTAGTTTACATCAAGTTGTGTAAAGGGACTGAAGGTCATATTCACTTGGGTAACACACACAGTACCCGAACTCGTAATATAACTAAAATAAGAAAAGTCGGAATAAATTATGGCCTAACCCCAACCTGGTACACTGACTACGGCAGTATCAACTAAACTTCTCTTCGTCGCATACTGAAGACTTAAATGAAATCTTCCCCGTGGAGGTTATTGCATTTTTATGATACCAGGCAAAAACCATTGTTTCCACTTATATCTATTGTGCAATCGCCTGAGCAACCAATTTTTTTCAAGAACGAGATCCACATCAGGCTCTAAAAATACAACTCGAATACAATTGTATTTGAATACCCACAAAGTGTCGCATATACATCCATATGCGGCGCATTGGGTATAGGCCGCGAGCCGAGGCCCTGAAAAACGCCTAGAAAATGAGTTTCGTAGCGCACATCAGGTAACTACCTGAAAATGATTTTAAAATGTTCCTTAAAAATTTAGTAACAAATATTGCCTTGTTCCCACTTCCAAAAGTTGCACGTTTTACGGAGAAAACGCTTTTACTACAAGAAATATGTGCTCCGATCTGTCCTATATTCTCTACATTTTCGGCAATGAACAATGACTTCTGCATGACGTAACAATTGAATCGAATCAGCTGTAAGCGAACGGATGAATATTAGTTATTACTGCTCGACCTTGCGTTGAGTTGGGCAGCCTTTCCATAGCCCTGTTTAGTTATTATTGGACACGTTTAGTGGCCATAACGATCGTTTCAATATTATGTTGTTGTTGTTGTTGTTCTTGTTCTTTGACACGTTTTTAAAAAGTCGCTTTTCTCTTCGAATACTGGACCAATTGCTTTGAAATTTTCAGTGGTTAAAAATTAATTTTTTCGCTAGAAGGCTATTACTTTTATTTATTTCAAAATTTTGCGTGAATTCTATGAAATTTGATATTTTGTCTAAAATTTTGCTGTAATATTTTTTATCCATGGGAACACGGATTTTAGTCAGTGTCATGACTGGCTGTACGTTTTGATTCTGCAAAATTCTTGCTACTGGAAATTCAGAACTTTTTTGAGGGTACCGGTAGCGTCGAAGGTACCGGTAAGGACTGATTCGCTCTGGTCTAACGTGTCCATATATTTGTGCGTAGCTCTCTTGTTAGTTAAGTTATGCTAAGACGTTGTTGAAAAATGTATAAGTAAGTTATTAAACACTTGTAGATCCTTACCACGGATATGGGCCGTGAGACGAAGCCTTGAAAACGCCCAGAAAATGAGTTTCGTAGCGCACATCTGGTAACTTAATAAATTCTTCAGTTTTGTGTGAAAATGAACATACTGAACGCATTACAGCTTGTTCCACAATCCTGGTGCGAAATTGAATATAAGAGGTTCCCGGAAATTCAATAACCATAAGTTTACAACACATACATAAGAACTATGCAATTCGAGAGCCCTACAGCACACTAACATAAATGTATTCCTGTAATGTTTTGCCTGACCAAAATCGGACTTCCTCAGTCAATCATAATTTATTAGGTAGATTACAAAAAATATGGCATACATGTAACTAACAACAAAAAATACTTTAATTTTGTGACAGGAGTCGCGAGTGACCTCGAAAGCAGCGACACCAACAACGCAGATTTACATTAGCGAATAAATTTTATGTAATAACCACAAGCAGTTTACAACAAGAACAGCATAAAAAGCTACATCCATTTTATAGAAGCTATCAAACGTATTTATTTTTAGGCAATGAAGTGACAAATTAACATCGTGAGCACGAAAACACAAATAAATCAGTTATTTCACGAAAAGTCAAGAAAATTAAATGAATGTACATAACATAGTGAACAGAAATATTACAATTAGTCTTTTTTTAGTTTATGTGGTTATGTATTTGAACAAAGGCGATATTAATTCTAGAAACAGGACTACGACACTAACAAATGTCAGAAAAAAAACAAATAAATGATACTTATTAAATCAACTGCAATCTTAATTCACTTTCTTCTGAATTGTTTTCGAAATCCACTATCTCGAAAATCGACTTTTCCTCTATAAGTGTACTGTGATTTTTGCAGTCAATACAAAAACAATCTGAGCAATTTAAGTTGATTTTGGCACACTTGCATAAATTATTTTGACTATTTTTCTTACACTTGCAGTTTGCCAACTCAAGAACTGATTTGAGGGCCACATGCTACTTCAGTGAATCATTGTTTGGTGCCCTGGACGTGCCCTGGTATCATTTACATTCTTCATATCCTCTTCATACAGTGAACAAACAAATTCCTCAGCTTTATTTATTAATGCCTCGTTAACCTCAAAAGATCTTCATAGTTCAGTAGTTGAGAAAAAAATGAATTGAAAACCTCAATGAAGTCTCCAACATGAGTTTGATGGGCAGTTCCAATTGCAGAAAAGTGCTAAAGTATTTCAATATGAATAGCCCATCTAAGCTGTTTGCAACTATTATGATTCTCATATACATTTACGCTTCAAGACTTCTTGTTTAATCTATTTTATAGCACTGATAGCAGCAGGGATTAGAGCCTGCGTTAGGTCGGATTGGTGGAACATTGCCGTTTTCTTTTGTAGTACAGTATCTAAAATGAGGAAGAAAATCATATTTGGAACAACATGAGTGTAAAAATCCACTAAATATTAACTAATACCTTGAATACATAATGCATTTTATCTGATGTACTCAATGAGCGTATATATGCTCATTGCATGTACTACAGTCCAGCAGTGTTTGCATACCATTACTAGACTATATCTACACTAAATTTTGATATATCACAATCTGAAATGGCCTATGACAGTATGAGTATGGACTATAGACTATATTTTAAAACATCAACTGTCTGTCTACAACTTGATTTCTCACCTCTCAATCGTTTCCAATGCTAATTTCTTTCCACTTGCTTACCAGGTTCTTGTCGACTCTATGAATTTAGATTTAGACCAACCGACATTAGTAAAATTGATTATTTTCTTCTCTTTCACACAACCGTGCATTACAGCAACAGCCATTAATTTATATTTCCAAATATCCTGTGGCCTATATAGTAGTATAAGTCTGCTGAATAGTCAAGAAGAGTCATTAAATTAATCATAAACATTTCATGCAAGCCAGAAAATATCGTTGTTTGAGACATATTATTCTAGGTCTAGCCTTCCTTGGAGTTACCGCACCGTACCTATTTAACAACGTCTTATGAGCTAGTGCTCAACTAAAATCGCTATTTATGGTAAGGATATACAAGTGTTTAATATCTTACTTATACTTTTTAACACCTCCTTAGAATAACTGAACTAATAATAACTGAAAAAAACTATGGAAGGGCTACTCAACGCAAAAGCGAGAAGTAGTAGTACATCTAATATTCATCCGACCACTGAGGATCCACCTACAGCTGTCTAATTTGATTGTTACGTCATGCAGAGGTCTGCGTTCATTGGCCCATGATACGGGAAAAGCAGAGAAAATGGGACAGATGGTAACGCATAATATTGTAGTAAAAGCGTCTTTTCTGTAAAACGTGCAACTTTTGGAAGTGGGAACAAGGCAATATTTGTTACTAAATTTCTAAGGAACATTTTAAAATCATTTTCAGGTAGTTACCTTATGTGCGCTACGAAACTGAAAGATAAATGGCCCCGGCTCGCGGCCTAGTAGTAAAATTAGACGAAAACTGGCCAAAACCATATGCAACACGAAGAAACTTTGGAAGCATAAATGTCAAGATGGCGGCAATCAAATGATCCCGCGGCGAGACAACGCAAAACGAGAGAGAAGATCTTTCCATATATTTTCAGTTCAGTTGTGCCGGAACGGTGCCACTAACAATATTAGCGAAACGTCCACGAAATGGGAGGCGGACAACTCGACTACACGGACAACTCACCAGAGACAACTCGACTACCTAGAGGCCTAGTGAGTTGTCCGTCTTTTGACATTTTCTACGGTGGTGTTTTAGGTCTATAGAAATGCGTTTTTGATATTTTTAGTGC